CTTGCTTTTTGCATGCTTCATTCTACATGGGAAGAAGTTCTATATACATCCAGCAGAAGCCATATTGTAAAAGACTGCTCCCCTAATAATGTTATATAGATAAGATACAGCACTACTGTCAATGTGAATTCAAATGTTCACTTGAGTTTACATCAGCCATTCCCAGACCTTGTAAGAATTTCCTGCCAAGAAAGAGTTGAATGGCAGAGCTTTCTGGTATAATTGTTTGCAGGAGTTTATTCTTTTAATGAAAGAGATATATGCTACACATCCTGCCAGTCAGCAAAGAAAAGAGAATGTGTTTTAACAAATCACATCTAACTAATACAGATCTTCCAAAGACCATTCACAACCAAATGTGAATGCTGACAAGCATGTGCACATTGCATGATGAGAACAGAGTATCTTTTGCACAGTAAATTTTCATTTTTGAAGAATTTAGTTCTAGCTGTCTTGATGATTCTAAGTTCATTAAGTTGTGACTAACCTCATTAAACATACATTTCCTTTTTTCCTTTAGACTGCCACAGTTTCAAGAACCATGTTTTCTTCCTTGCCTCATAAGTCAGGTGTTCTTTTGGCCAACACCACTAGCTCTTCTTTCGTTTTTTCACACCCAATAACTACAGGCATTAATAAAAATGCTACAGTTTGATAAGTAAAAAAAAAAAAATAATCAAAAGTAAAGCATGCCTAATGCAAATACATCTTCTTTTAACATTTGTAACACATCAGGTACTATTTGTCATAAAAAGCAAGAGACTGCCAAGAAAAGGATTCTCACTGAATTCCAATGACTCTACTAGATTTCCACTCTAATGCCAGAAGCCAGTCCCTTCAGTAAGTGTTTCCTTGCCATGGAATTTAAATTTCTTTCAAATACCATGGGTATGCTTATATCATTTCAGGTGGCAAGGAATCTCCATTCCAAAATATACTGTTCTTTGGCTCTGAAGGAGATATTTTGAACAGTAAACTCTTGAAAGCAGAAATTTCTAGAATATTTTTCTTCATTTCCTGGACTGAAGACTCCTGTGTATTTACTAAATTCTGGAAATAAATGGATTCACACATAACCCTTCCCTGTTGTGTGCACAGACTGCCTGAGGATCTAATTTGTACCAGTGATATAACTGAATATCTACGTTATTACATATACACTCCTATATAAACTCAAAACACATTAAGGATTAACCAGAGGCCTTTACAGGAAGAACAGAGAATAAAAGTCTTGGTGGGGAACCTTTGAATCCCTGTTATTATAAAGCGGGTAACAGCTGTTATGAAGCATTGCAAGTAGAGAAGACCTAAGATGATTTCAGAGTTTCACACAATGAAATAATTCACTTTACTGCTGCTTAGACTTATTAAATAAAGCAATTTTTGCCACAGCCAGGAAATTTAATGACTCCTAGAGAAACTAGGTTTGACAAGTTCTGCGGAGTCTGAGAATAAAGGAATTCATCACCAACAGGAAGAAGTAGGGTAACATTGTCCTGATTTGAAATCAGTGGAAAGGGCAGGCAGAAAAGTCCTTCTTACTCCATACAAAAGATGCAATGCCATCAGAAGCGAGGCAAGAATTTTTTTGTTCCCAAAATTGCCTAACTCCAACATCAAGGGAACAAACCGGGATGACAGTTTAACCTCCTGAACAATTGTTCAGTACTTGGTTCTGCTACTCTGACAGACAGCCAAAATGCTGATTACCACTGCTTTCAAAATAAGCCTCCTGTGTGCAGTACAGGCACATTGATCATAATGGGGGGCTGTAACAATTTACAGCTTCCAAAACCTTGCCTCCGGTGGTTTGAACCCTGTGCTTCAGTATCCTTGTATCCCATTAGACACAATATACCACAACTGCTCGCGTAACTGGGAGATGATAACTGGAAGTTTCTCAAAACTAAAAATACTCCCTGATTCTGTAAGGAACGTATATTTGTCTTACTATCATTGCATCTAAATTTGCCATCTAATTGCTTTACTTTACTTTGCTTTTCTCCTTTCTAAGAGGAACTTCCTTCATACAGGCACACCTGCAAAGGCATCAGAAGTCTTCACCATTAATAACCATTTTCTTCCACTCATTTCTCCATTTTCCTCTGTGTTTTGTTTCTGTTACTTGATACCTTCTGATCTGCTTAAAATCAGAGTTTAGGTCTCCTGGTTGAGCAGTACTTCCTTGCAAGCTTGCACAAGACAATTTTTTAGAGTTTTTTTGTTGTTTGTTTTCATGTTTGTTTTTTTTAAAATATAAGGCACATTACAGACAACTTACTGCTCATTAGCCACTCTAGCATCCAAAGTAACAGGAGAAATCATCAGCCTCAGGCTCCTTACCAGCTAGAAATAAAACTGGCAGTGAAGCAAGCTGAAAAGGAGCACGGTAATACTGATCAATATCCACAGTCCTTCCTCCTTCGCAGGAAACTACCTATGAATTTCATTCAAAAGAAACAGCTCTCAATTAAAAAGAATTCATGATAAATAATAAAAGGTGTCATTCTGAAAAGAAGAAAAGTGGCCAAGGGAAACAAAGTAACGTGCAGAAAACAGAAGTGGTATCCTACTAGAGTTAAAAAATACACATTGTTTCTTTCAACAGTTCTAGCCTCTCCAATTGATAAAAATTAGAAATGCCCTTCTGTACAACCTGTCATGCTACACTGTCTTCATGTTCAGAGTATTTTTTAACCGGACAAAGGAAATTTCAGGCTAAATATAATGTATACTACTCCAACAGTGAGAGCTTCTTGATTGTGATAACAGCACTCCAATAGAAGAAAGAACCCAAATTGTATGAACTGTTTAAAATTAGATCGAGCAAAAACCTGAGAAATTTACTGTATGCAACAGCAGGAGCACAGATTGGAAAATGGTGGTGCAAGATCTGTTACCTCAATGGTTAATGTATGTCATAACTTTTTCTTTCTAAAATACCATAACTATTTATAATGTTTATGTCTTAGATAAGGTGGTGCCATTGGACAGCCAGTGTACAAGGCTAATTATGAAGATACAGCTGTTAATCAGTGGCTGAGTAAGAATGAATAACGTACAATTTTAGATTTAAATTAAAATTTTCTCTTAGGAATGTTATTTATTACAATTGCTGCCTGACCATAATTTTTCTTAGACTCTACTTGTGTACAACTCAAATGGTTGTAATTTAACCTGGATACAGAGATAAATTTAGTGTTGGTATATAGAATTAAACACTCAGACCCAAATAATAAAAACATTATTTCATTCCAGGTGAAACAATGACACTGTAAGTTGGTTAAGAGAAGATTCCTGTCATACAACATATTTATAAAAATCTGCAGCCTTTAAGGCTCTGGGTACTACTAACTCCTCTTAACTTCAGTGAAGCTCACACTACTAAATGCCACCTTGAACCAAGCCTCCAAGCATGCTCTCTGCAGGTCATAGATGCTGTTATTGTCTAAAGAGCAGAATATAACAGGCAAAAGTAATCTCATAAGACTGTACTGAAAGCTAAATTCCTCAGAGAATCATCAGCCAAATGATGCTCACTAATGAGCTCCATTTTAGGAATCCTCTGGGGTCTAGTAGAAAAGGATCTTTTTCTTAACCAGAAACCAGCATACATTGCCTGTACATTATTCAATATTAAAGCACAGGCCACATCTGTCAACACATAGACATATAATGCATAGCAGCTCAAAATAAATACAGTTATTGTGCACATTCAAGATACTATTTTTTCACAAACTGATGCACGTTTTTTTTGTCAATCCTTTAGCATGCTGCAATCATGAGCATGTATCTTCAGTAACAACAGTTTTGTAGTTGTAGTACTAATTTCTGTACAAAAAGAAAAAACACAGAAGCTGAAAAAATAGAAGGACAAACAAGTGAACAGACGAACTGAAATAAAGCATATGGTTATGAGTCAGTGTAAATTCTTAATTAATCTGTATTGACAAAGATTATGGTGACTAAATAGTATGTGTGCATGAAACTCATGGCGCTAGACCTGCATAGCAACCCACAATAAATAACCTAAATTTTCAGCTTCTACAAATTTAAGCTATTTACTACTAGATCTGCAAGGCAATGGAAGTACACTAAGGGACAGTGCACAGAACTGTCTGTCTCCCATAAATACACTCTTCTCCTTGGCACCCAAATAGCTGCACACAGGGTGCAACATGCCCTTTTCCTGGGCAGAAACCCTGGAAGATTGTGGAAGATCTTCAATATAGAAGCTACAAAACTGACTTCATGAGCAGCTGTAATTTGCTCTACTTAGGAAAGAAATTCTGAGTTTAATTTTCCCATGAAGAATGCCTGAATATGGCTAGCACAAATGTAGTCCCCTGTTATAAGAAAAGATTCTTCTAAAATAGCTCTGGCAATTAACATAACAAGGAATTAACTCAAGGTGTCAATTAGAATTTGATGGTTTCCAGGAGATTCTGGCTTTCTTTTAATAAGTTTCAATTTGTTAACCATTTAATGTATGTTGTAAAATCTCCTTCAGATCTAGAGTTTTTGTTTGCATTCTAACAGCAAGACTTTGATCTATGCCCTGGATTGTGCTTTTGATCAAAACCAACACTTGTGTCAATTACTGAGTTCCGCTGGGGATGCCTGCAGCCTCTACAGCATTGCCATTAGCTCAGGGCTTACCAGAATTAAACATATATTGGGGGAGCAGTATTAAAAAATAGTAGCCGATGCTGTCTCTGCTTTGACATTCTGGATATCACTCCATGTTGTATTTGGTTTTTATGATTAAACTTACGTTTTTATTTCCCACTTTCAGATGTCCCAACTGTTGTTGCTCCCCATAATCTATAACTGACAAAAACATACTGAATGTAGACAAAACATCAGTTGATAGCTCTGACAATCAAAAGATTGATCTCCATGCAAGCATGATCTGATGCTATTAATAATACCACTTCACAACATCATGGCACATCACACAAGAAATGGAACTTAAAAAGGTGCCAAGGCACATCTGTTACCTGGCTGATCCGTTTTTGCTTTTCCACCAGTGACTCCCAAAATACTAGATCCAGAAGATGAGGCTTCCATTTTTATTGACCCTCTGACTTGTGGGAGTGAAGGATGCCCAACCACAGGCGGACGCTGTGACACTGGGTAGCTTGCTGCAGTTCTCCTCTGATAGATTTGCACACTCTTGTCAGCCCCATGAATAGACAAACTTATACCTGACAGGAATAAGAATTAGTACTGTTAGGTATGAGAGACCAGCATGGAATAACTAAAATATAAAATTTGCCATGGTTTAAATTGGAGTTGTAGCAGCCTTCTTGACGGAAAAAGGCAAACCAAACCAACCTATAAAACCAAGAATTTTCTATGAAAATTAAGAATGTGAACATCTGTGGTGCTGTGTTGCAAACATCAGTCAGCCACACTAATAGATATTTAAATTAATACACAGTCATGGCTTACTGCATTACTGGCCTGCAGGAGGAATTATCTTCCATTCTTTCAAAAACCCCACACAGCTTACACAGGACGGTACTAATGAGGTAACTACCACAGAGTTTATTAAATGACAGTGTTCTGATTGATGGACCAGAACTTGGCCATAATGGCTCTTCTGAGCATTCACAAGTGTTAGGAAGTCTCATCATATGGAAAAGATGCTACGCTTCATGTGGTAACTAGTTTTTAAAGAAAAAAACAAGGTCTGGTTTGAGAAAAACAGTAAGGCTATCAGCAACAACAAACATGACCTTAAGCTTGAAAACAATTCCACTTTCATCAGTCCTGTGAAACATTACCTACAACAGTGGAAACTATCTTTCACAAACATTCTCAATTTTGTCACATAGCAAATTTTTAAATAGAAATTGTGATGAAAAAACAGGCTTTACTTTTTCAAACAGAAAAGCAAAGTTGACATTTCCTATGCTCCGATTTATTGTACAGTCTAGAAAGAAACACCATTTTACAGTAAAGAATGCAGTTTCTGACTTCCTTACATTCACATTGATGCAATTGCTCCAACTTTATAATTACTCTCAGCGTACTCTGGTGAAAATATTTAGACAATCTCCTTTTGGCAACAAAGCTGAATGATAATCCTACGCTAACGCGTTATGCTTAATTTAATTGTGACTCTTACAGCTTTTATCAAACAAACCATTCTTTGTTTTAGAAAACCAAATGAAAAACCCTAACTAGATATAAATGGGCAAACTGAGAAACAGATAAAAAAGCAGACCCTAAAAACCGGAAATGTGGATCTAAGCACACTGTAAGTTGCAGTAACTCAAAATCATTAGACATCATTGACTAGATCACACATTTCTGTGAAAGGGGTCACTCACCGAAATGTCCAAGAATGCCTTAATGACTCTGCTCTTCCAGTTACACTGAAAGACAATGAACCTCTAGGTCACTGAAGAGGCTTTGAATCCCTGAAATATTAATACACTTCTACCTATAATATACTACCAAGGGAAAGAGAGCTGCCACTTCTGTAGGCAAATTGTGAGCACAGTGTGGCTGCACATGAGGAAAAGCTGTGCAAATTGGTCTTCTTCAAGATGTCTTTGTTCATTCAGAATTGAAGCTGCACAGTTGCTACCTGACTTTGCTGCACTTCAGCAGAGCTGATCTCCTGCAGGAAGTGTGAAGGGATGAGGACCACCTGCAGCAACTGCTCAGATACATCCTGGTTATAGAACTAATGTAACTGTCATCTGTCTCCAGACTCTTGAAATCATATCTCCTTTGGTATGGCCAGCAAATCCCATTTTTCCCCCATCTTGGGAAAGGCAGCATAATAACCCATGAGAGCAGAATGACAATGAGCATGCCTGGACGACACATTTCTTTGTTCATGTTAGCCAACAACACACTTCTTTGATCGTGTTAGTCGTATAGCTTAGTCATAAGGGGCTTCAAACAGCTAAGCCCAGCTGTAAAATGAGCTCTTTATTTCTTGTGCAGTCACTAAAACTTGTGATGCTGAAATTATTGCTCAATTATGCCCAAGGTATTAAAAAATCAACCACAACTATTTATTTCCTTTTATCATCACTTGTTGTCATATAATTTAATACAATCATCTCTTGGAAGCTGACAATAGAGTCACTAAGTTACTCTGCCAATGCTAAACATGAATCTGGCATGAGCACATACTAACTTCATCTCAGTAAGGCTGTGATTTCATTTGGTCATGAAATCAGTGATATATTTTAGGAACTGGTTCCAAACATAAACTGACTGCTACATTTCTCTGAGGTTCAATTGCTTCTTCATGTTCTGAAAACAGTCTATAAACTCTCATGCAGCTGTGACTCAGCTTCCTAAACAGTTTCTGCAGCACTTTTTTTTCAGACATCAAAATAAAGGATACTGCAGTCAGATCATGAAGAACTGCAAAATTTGCAGATGGATCACATACAAAATTATGTGCAATCAACAGCTTGACTCTGGTTATACACAACCTTTTGTTTCTTCCGATAAAGAGAGGTACTATAAAATTACAACACTAAGCTACATGAAAAAGAATGTGCCAGCATTATTGGAATTTTTACATATTATCTTTTGGACATATTTAAAACCTAATAGTTCTCAAAAAACTACTACACTTTACACGAAAGGTATGTCACCAATATATTCAACATAACTGGGGGTTCTTCACCCCGCTCCTCTTGCCACTGCAGTTATTTCCTTCTCAGAAGACATTCTCTTGACTAGGAGAGTGAATTTCCATTATTTTCGTGAGAACCAGGTACACGACAAAGATGTATGTGAATTTAATTACCATTTCAGATTTTTCCAGAAAGAGACTAGATCTTGTTTTTCTTTGAACATTTCTATTGTTAAACTAAAAGTCTGCAAAAATGTAAAACAGTAATATTGCAGTAAGCTGCAGTAATACCTTGTTTTCATGTGGGTGAAAGTCCTCTTAAAAGAGATATTGACAGTTGAAAATACATCCCCAGATAACATGCAGGAAAACAGAGACAAAGAGAGTGGAAATCAGAAGTAGAAAAGCTATAGGAAATAGCACATATAGCTTATGGGAGATGAAAACCTGATGAGCTATCAACATTAAGCAGAATCTAGAGTAAAATATGTCTCACGAGCACCGTTTTGACCTAGGGCTGCAGTGCAAATTCAAGTGAAGGACTTAATGCTAGCCAGTAGCCATAGCTGACTGTTCACTACTGTGGAGGAATGGCTTCTAGACAGGGCTCAGTCACCTGCTCTTGGCTGGCTGCAAACCAAGTATTTAAGAGTGGGAAGTAGAAGTTTAGTGTTTTGAAGCTGGACAAGATCTGAGCCTTCAAGTATTATATGTATCACTCAGCTCTCTTCCTTTCTTGCATGCAAAAATCCTTTGTATTTTCCAATTTGCACATGGCTTTCTCTTCCTTACTTATGTTTCTACCTTTTTTTTTTCTCATACAAGCTTCTTGTCTCCATGAGGAGCTTCTTGGTGCTCTTTGGCTCTCCACTGATGCTTCTGCTTGAGCTTGCAGATTCATGTAAGAGAAACACCTTCACTCCTTCCCTACCAACACATCCCTGCTGTGCAGTTTGCCAGCAGGGAAGAGCAGCCTCTATCCTGCTTCTGGCTAACTTTTATTGCTCCCAGTTTTGTCTTTTTACTATAAATTTTCCAAAGCAGCATTTATTTTCCATCGAACATATTTTGCTTCTTACAAAGTGGTAGTATACTTATGACACTGAAGAATTTATAATGCTCCACATAAAACCTGCATAGGAGAACATTAAAAGTGAAGGATTAAAGTACTTCCAAGTCAAAAAGCAATAAAATGAAACATAAAGAAGAGAAAGGAGGGAGAAACTACTAAAAGTAGAAAACACTACAGTTTGACTGCATCCAAGGTTTTATGTGATGGTGGTATTTGTTTTTTTTGGCTCATCAGATGCTACAGTGATGAACGACCACATCCTGCATTATTCAGAAGTCTCTGCCAAGGCATCTGCTGGGGCACCTGCTTTGGTCATCTGATCCATGGCCAGTAGGTGTTGTGTACCATGCACCTCTCTGCAAGGAGCAATACCTGCACCCAGTGGACCTTATCCAGCATGCCTGTGTTGCTCATCTGGGCGTAGAGCAGTGGCTCTGGCACTGGTGGAGATGGCTCTAGCACCAGAATTCTGGTCAGCAAGGCAGTGTATCTAAATTATACTGTGCTGGGACTGAGACACTTCTCCACGTAGGGAGACACCCCTCTGTAGTGACTGTCAGGTTTGGGTCAGCTCCAGTTCTGTTCCACCCTGTACAACTTTGGTAACCTATTTAAAGATTAATTCCTGCTGTAGGTTCCCTCCTGGCACGTCTCTCTCTATCCAGAGGTAATATGAACATGAGTAAGCAATAATAATGCAATGCAGAGTTACACTGTATAAACAATCCATTAGCTAATAGTGCTTAATTAGCCTCAAGTGCCCTGACCTGCTTTGTAGACCTTCTCTGGGCTAATAAGCTGCTGCTCTGGGATAATAAGCTGGCAGGTGCAGTTAAGTCATTTTGGTTTGGTATCATCAGAGTGCCAGTGCTCATGTGGTAGACAAATGACTCCAGCTATTTCTCACTTCTATTTGGTTCTTTTATTCTACTTCAGCCCTGTGTGGAGGCCTTAGGAGAAGACTGAGATAGACCCTTCTTCAAGGCCTTTTTCAGATCAGAGGAAGTGCAGGGGAGTACAGGGCAAGAAGTGAGGAAGAAAATTTCAGATGCAGTGTCATGTAGGGCCAAGACAAGTAAAGTAGTGCTGGAAAGCTTGCAGTCATCAAGGCACAGATGAGCAAGGTCATAAAGAAACACTGGAAGCATGGGCAGGGAGAGGAAAATGAGGTTTTAAAGTGCGGTATATGAATGGGCACATTACGTATTTAGTTCCTTTCAACTTTTTCACCCAGGAAATTTGTCCACCTTAAGAAGTCCACCTAATTTGCCCACCTTAAGAAGTTAAGCATCCTTCCCTCCCCTTGTGCAAACTGTCACATTTACCGCTAAAGTCAATGATGCTCTGCAGACAGCTTCAGCTTTTTCTTTCTGAAGCTAGCCTTGGTAAGGGGGAACTCAAAAAGAGCAAGCAACATAAAAGGTTTCCCATGCTAACCCAGTTTCATCTGAGACTCAGCAGAGACAGTTATGCTTGATACCATGATGGGCTCACTTTGAATCCTAAGTGGAAATGAATGAGCACAA